AGGTCGAGGCTGCGGTGGCCGGGAGCAGAGTGAGACTCCAACAAAAAAAAAAAAAAAAAAAAATTAGAAGCATTTGATGCTACCTAGACACAGCTGGTAAAGTGAGAATAATGCTCAAGTTTGCACGGTTTAAACACAATGTAGACAATAATTAGAAATGCTATCTTTAGATGTTGAGGGTAAGCTTTTTCTCAGAATTGCAGAGAATTTTTTTTTCCGAGTGGGGCTTTTTAGCGCATATATACAGAAATACTAAAAACGTAAGAAAATAGAGCAAATCAGTGAGCGTTTTGGTCAACTTGAAAGACTGCAGGAAATAAGCCAACTGATTTTAGATCTGCCTTTTTTGACTGAATGCATAAAATCTTTACATTTCCACATCTGTCATGACTACTATATGATCAGATAGTTCTAGGTGAAAGATTGCAACTGGTAAGTTGCTACAATGTGCCAGAAGTAATGCTCAACCTATGCTTGACCCGTGGCAAGGGAGAACAAAGCAAATAATACAGATAATTAATCATCTCTATCAGGAAAATTACCACGTTTTTATTTCAGGTAACAAAAAATATACAGTTATGATACATGATGGTCATAGAATTCAATAAAGCAAGGTCTGCAAATTAATAGAACTTACTTCTTTAAATAAAACTACAAAATAGCAGCTTTTTTAAAGCCAATTGTTTTAAATTTACTAGACTAGCACTGGCCTCTGCTAAGATCCCAAAATATATTCCTGAACTCACATAGATTCCAGAAAGTCACGCTTTTCGGTTTGATGCACACATTCCCTATGCATCCAAAAAAGTTATCCTGTAGGAAAGAGGTGATCCGACATATTAATATCTACCATTTTAAATTGCCTTCATGCTGTATCAATTTGTTTTTGTGAGCAACGCTAATATTGGGGCCCTCCTATTTTTTTCTGCTTCTCATTTCTAACTAGATTCACTGCTGAGCTCCCAATGGCAATCTCTCTGATCTACAAATTTGTTCTCCTTCCAGAAGGACAACTACATAAAGAGCGATATATTGAATTAGTGAGTCGGGGGCAATGCTTTGGCTTTTTGACATCCCAGGCAGAGCCCTCTGAAGGTATACTCTGTGTCATTAAGGGAGAGTATTGTTCTAAATGGAGGCTTCCAGAATGGAAGTGGAGGGAGAAGGTGCTCCAATAGAGACTTTGTTCAAAGAGAAACAGGGTGCCAAGTCATCCACAGGGCTGCAGGAAAACAATGAAGCCAAGCAAGCACCCCATTTTTTGGAGGAAAACAAAGAAAGGCAAAGGCATGCTGTAATTTTAAAGAGACAGGCACAATCACCTCGATGGGCAAATAGCTGGGGCTTGAAATTCCTTAAAGTGGAGACCAAACTTTTTATGCTATATGGGAGACTGGGGTGCAGCTACTCCTGGTAGGAATCACACATTAAAACATTTGCTCCAACACGTGAATAGCTGACAGCAGAGCACTTTTCTGGAAATTGGAGACATGATGGTGGTATGGCGTGGGGAGTGAGGGCACAGAAGTGGAGCTGTGATGGACACACTCGTTTAGCTGACTTAGATTGCCAACTGGGAGGAGGGTCCAGCAGGCACTGAGCTGAAGCCATCAGGTGCCTCCCAGCTAGCAAGGCTTCCGGAACAGCTGTGGGAGCAAGAAGGGAGGGGGAGGGGAGAGGACCGTGGGCAGAGAGGCATGGAAAGAGGCGCCAGAGATGAGAAGCACCTGGTTTACAAAAACCAATCCGTTTCTACGGGTCTTAATGGAAAGAAACACAAACCCTCATATGTAAAAATCCACACCTAAAGGCTCTCAGGTACAGAGCGATCACAAGAAAGTCAGAGTGTGCAAACAAGCTTTCATTAAGAGAACTGTCAGCTCTGTTTCATTGATCCAGACTGTTCTGCATTCTGCTGGCAACCCAGCTGGAAAAAATCATGGAAGGACAAACACGCTGGAAGAGGCAAACAAAGGCGGGGACATTCCTCCTACAAAGCAGAACAGATCAGAAAGATGCCAGGGAGGAGCAGGGATGAGATGGCATTTTTCTTAGCAAACAACCAACCAGGGCCCCTTCCCTCAATTCCATACCGTTAATAACACAGTATCTGGGCTTTTTAAGCAGGAAAAAGAAAAAGACGTGAGGTTCTGAGACAATACCATTGGCAGCCTACTCAAATCTACTGAAATCGATTCCCACTCTCCTCCACATCGCAGGACACTATTTTGGTTTGGTGTTCACCCTTTTACAGTCTGAATATTTAGGGACAGGGTCCCAGTCCAACTCCAAGCGCAAATCTTGAGGAATCTACATGGATCGTGGTAATACCATCTTCCTTGCCAGGGACTGGTTTGGACATAGTCATGTGACAAGGTCACATAGGCACGTAACAATGCTGACCAATGAAATGTGATAGCAACAAGGTTTCTTGCACTTAAAATATTCCCACACCTATGTGGGGAGAAATTTCCTTCTGCCCGTGGACATGTGAGAACAGATGCCTGCTGGAGCTGTTGCAGCCTTCTTGTTATCATGAGGGTGTAACTGACATAGAGGCAGGTAGAGCAGGAAGATAGAAACCTAGATCCTGGATGACTATCTTCAAAGAACCGGCCCTGGAATGCCCTACTTCTGAAGTTCCTGTTATGCAATAGAACTCATTTCCCTATTGTTTAAGTTTCTATAGGGTGGCTTGGAGCTGGGAGCGCCATGATGGATAAAGAGTTGTATGGTGGTGTAGGGGAGAGAATGCCAGGGTGAGAGACCTCCCTTGAGGGGAAACTGTGGGGGAGGAGTCCAGGGGCAAGGGAACAGGCAGGAGTGCTGGAGCACTGGAGCCCAGCAGACGGGGCCGGTAGTATTTTCTGCCAGGAACAGCACACTCCTGTTTTGCTAGATGGGGGTGACCCGAACAACTGGAGACCCAGCCTGTCTGCATCTGACAAAGAATGGGGTCTCTGTGGTCTGCACTTGGCTTTCATGTCTCTTAAAAGGACAAACACCAACCATAAGTGATTGTGAAAACTCCCTTTAATGTCTGGGGAACAGAAGAACCATATTGGGTGGGGACAGCAGAGGTGGGACAGTGTCACACGTATCTATGGGGATGTTGTCATGGCTGCACCTGTGATGGGATTGACTCACTACCTCCCATTCCACCTAATAACACAAACCCTCCCGGCTGACTGGGCATACAGAGTTTAGGTTATCGCTCCCTGTGACCTTTCCTCCATACCCGAAACCCCAGATTCTCTGGGACTTACTGCAGTCTTCCTGACTGAATGCATTCGAGTTTATGATAAGCCCAGCTTTCCAGAAGGTGATGAATGGGCCCCGAAGATGTGCACCCAGCTGACGGTGTGTCAAAACCAGAGCTTCTGCAGGGTGAGATTTTAATTTTTATTACTATTGTATTAAATTGTTCCTTTGGTGGCTCTGGCATTCTATGCAGCAGTGCTGAACATTTGCAGACAGTTAAGGCCCAGGCCAGCAGGAAAATGATTTCTGTGACTGCTGGTCTGTGCAAGCGCTGCAGCTGCGGAAGAGACCTCCCTTGAGGGGAAACTGTGGGGGAGGGGTTCCAGGGGCAAGGGAACAGGCTGGAGCACTGGAGCCCAGCAGACGGGGCCGGTAGTATTTTCTGCCAGGAACAGCACACTCCTGTTTTGCTAGATGGGGGTGACCCGCACAACTGGAGACTCACCCGGTCTGCATCTGACAAAGAATGAGGTCTCTGTGGTCTGCACTTGGCCCTTCTGATGGGGCTCCCATTCTGATAACACAGTAACACCAGGAGGCGCCACCTGGCAATGACGTATCTGCTTGGCTGGCCACTGGTGTGCAGGGTCATAGCTGGGATCACAAGCCTGGTATAAACATCAGATTTTTAGAGATCATCTGCAGCCTCTACCACCCCAGGAGCCTCTCTCCTTCCTGCAAGAGGGTCTCTCATAGGAGCGATTCTGGTTCGCTGAGGCATTCTGTTCTTTGGGATCTGGAATGAGGCTTTCCTGGGGAAATGAACTAAGTTCAGCGCAAAGATAGGTCTATGACCCTTCTGCCATGCCACCTAGGAAAGCCAGTTTTTGTCCCAAAGGAAGGGACCGGGTGGGACTGACCACGCCCTCCTTTCCCACCCTTGGACTGTGTCCTTCTTTGTCCACGGTCACCCCTGCCATGCTGTAGTAAAGTTCTCTTACTTCGCCCTCTCTTTCTCCACTAGGGTCATGAGCTCCGTGTCTTGTCTGCAGAACCTCAGTAACTGATGTCTTAACATTCTGTTGAGGGAGTGAAAGGTCCAAAGTTTCAGGTGCTATGGGCAACTAGATTGGCCCTCCCAGACCCGAAATGGCCATCCGGTCCTAAATGTAAGACAGGTTGAGCAGAGAGAACCAGCATTTCCAGGTTCTAGCCCTCTTCGCATCTCAGAAATAAAAGACCAGACCCCCGCTGGGAGTCCTGCTGCCCCCTATTATACTGTCCCCACCCCCATCACTTCGGTCCAATTAATTCTCCAGATTTACAGGCTGGAAAACTCAGCTCTGGTAGTCAGCAAACAGGCCTCAACAGGGGCTGTGAATTTCCAACCAGAAGCTCAACCTTCCCAGCCTGCCCACGTCCCTCTCCCCCTGCCAGTCTGCACCATGACGGGGTGTGGGCAGGATGCCAAGCATACCCATGCCAGGAGGTCCCACCGGGCCCTGACTTGATGGAGTGCAGCCACAGGCCCTCAGGACACGTTCTGCTCAATTACACCTTCCCCTCTAGCACCTCACCTTTACCAACATGGGGATCTGATGAAAAACCCCATCAGTTTCTAGCTCTTCCCATAATTTTGATCGACAACATTAAACGCTAATAGAAAAACATCTCATCTCTGATAAAACAAAGGCTGACAGAAAGACGGATGTCGAAAACCAGCCATATGGCAGACACAATTCCTGTGCCCGGCCATGTTCACAGCAGCGCGTCTTCGGCAGAAAGAGATGACACTGAGAAGCTTGAGGACCCGCATTTAATAAATCAAATTGTACTGGCATCACCAGAATATTCACAGTTTGCAACAGGATCAGAGCGTTTTTCTCACTTGCAGACTCGGAGGTGTTTTAGGAGGAAGGACTTGGTGTGCTGTTCTGACGTTTCATCTTTGACCGTCCCTGGGGCTCTCCATGTGTCACTGTGTCAGATCCCATCCCCTTTCATGTTTTCACAGTGCTCCTTGTGCCTCTGCCTTCTGGGATCCCTTTGCCATCTTCCAGGGTGGAGGCTTCGGCCGCGGGCTGGCTGGATACAGAAGAGTCCTGGTGAGATTTGGGGAGATCCCCCTCAGAGGCCGGGCCCTGAGGAGGTGGCCTTGTTTCGCCCCTCTGACCCTCCAGGGGACTTTCTTTTCTGACCTCTTGGAGTTCTGCAGCTGCCTGTTCCTTTGTCAGTTTAATTATTTCTCTTCCAAGCCTGTTTACTTCTTCTTCCTCAGAAGGTAACTGGGGTAATGAAGGATGAAAGAGCTTGCGCTGGTTCCCGCAGCTCTGATTTGCTGGGGAGTTGACAGCGGGCCTCCCGGCATCCTCAGGCGCTGTCAACGCCTCGGCAGCGGCACAACTTTCATCTCCTTCTTGCTTTTGAGCCTCCCCTGGAAACAGAACGAGGACAGCACTAAACCTCTGGCAGCAAGTCAGACCTCGCCATCTCTCTCCTGCCAACCTCCCGCCCAGCCTCCAAGAAAGGAGAAAGCTTTTGCAGACCCCCTTGTGCAGGGCACTGGAGTCCAGAGGGAGTCCAGGACCCAAATGAGCATGGTGAGCACAGGATCTTGTGACTCCTGTGTTACCCACGGAGGACCATGTTCATAACCCACCCTTATCAGGCACCTGAGGATAGCTCCTTGGGCCCATTAAATATTTAAGTTGAGGACAAAGGTTTTGGTTCTGTAGCTCAGACCTGGGGTTCTTTAGTAATGCAAAAGGTTCTAGCTGCCTTCAGGGTGGGAAGCAGAACAGTTCAGGAGGGCCCCCCTCATTCTCTGTCAGTACCCCATCCCTTCATGCAAACATCTAGTGTTTCCTCGATTTCAAATAAAAATGTATTTTCAAAAGCAGCCTCAAGCTCTCTCCCCCACTCAATTGTGGTCTCTAAACCCCCTCTAGAAACTCTAGAGACTGCACCAGCAGGTTGGGTCAGAAGAGGGAGTCCTAAGTGCTGACATCTAGTCCCCGTGTCCCTACTCACATGCATTGTGATCAGAATGCCTTGTCAAGCCTCTGTTTCTCAGATATAAAATGAGAGACAGGCTTCCTGATGCCCCCTCCAAACCTAGCAAGTGGCATCTGCATGGCTGGGGAGCAGCGTGTGGTGCAAGCTCTTACTATCTGGACATGTGCAGTCAACACCAGGCACTCAGTTTCCCAAAAGTCAGTCTTTTCTTAGCACTCAGGCCAAACGGTGAAAGCATATGAAAGAGACACTGCTGGGCTGGGTTTACCCTGGGCACAGGTCTTGGTCCAGGAATGAGGGGCCCCAGGAACACTTCTTGGGACCCCCTAGTGGAACCACAGCTGAACCCCACTGTGGTGGGGCTTGCCATTGGATACGTGCAGGTGTGTTTTCAGGCTGCAAGTGGAACTGGGGAACTGAAGAACTGCAGGCAGGTTAAAAGGGAAGTTGAGTGTCACCGGACCAGGCCATTTTTCTGCTTAAAACCTTCTGCGGGAGCCTCATCACACTCAGGATCAAGTTCAACTCCTTTCACTTAGGTCCTTTGCAAGGCCCTGCTGACCTGCTCCTGCTTCCCTCCTCACCCTCATTCTCCATGGTTCCCTCACATATTTGTGTTCTCCCAGCCATGCTACCGGCCCGCTGGGTCTCCGCACGCACAGTTCAGTCCCTCCCCTCTGAAGAAGGAATCCTTCCAGCTAGTGCTTATTGAGTGCTTTTCTGTACTAGGCACTGCACTCAGCATTGGACACATTTTATCCTCTTCTAAATTTAAGTCCATGAAAACAGGAGCCTCGTCTGACTCATCCAGTGTCTGGCACATTCTAAGCATTCAAAAAATATTTTTAAAAAATAGTTCCTTGCATTTCTTTTCTTAATGGAAGTATAACATGCATGGAGAGAAGTGCACACGCCTTAAGTATTCAGCTCAATGAATTTTCAAAGAGTGAACACACCTATGTAGCCAGCAGGGTGAGAAACAAAGAATTACCAGCCCCTACAAAGACGTCCTAGTTTAGTTCCCCAGCCCTTCTTCCAATCACTTCTCTTCTGCCCAGGATAACTGCTCTCCTACTTAGAATGCTAAGATGAGTTCTAACTGGTCTCTGAACTTTATATCCAGGAGTCTTGCTGTGCTTGCTCACTTATGCCTGGCCCCTTTTACTTCATATGGTGTTTGTGAGATTTAGCCATGTTTTTCAGTGTAGAATTTGTTCATTTGAATGCACCACGATTTCCAACAAATATTTAAGTGCTGAGTGAAAACAGGCAAGTCAGAGAAAATGAAACAGAAATGGACTGTAAACAGACTAAGCAATTCAGACCATTATTCATCATTAAAGAAATCTAAATTGCAAGATATAATTTTTAATCTATCAGACTGGTGAAAATTAAAAGGTTCGTCAAAGCTCAGTGTGCAGAGAAACAGACATAATCATTAATCAAGAGGATAAAAATTAATAAGATTCTTTTATATACCATTTGGGCAATATCTATCAAAACCTCAAATGCACTTGCCCTTTGACTCGATAATTAATTCCATTATTAGGAATCTACCTCTGGATATTAGCCCAAATATTTCAAGACGCATATTCCTAAATCCTCACTACAATATTGTTTTGAATAGCAGAAGCCTGATAAGAAGCCCTGTGCCCATCAACAAGGGGTTATGTATATAGATATATTTGCTGAGATGTGAAATTCTTTCTGGTGGCATACACTAAAAAGTGTAAGTTGCCTCTAGGGAGCAGACTGAGTGCCAGACTGAGGGGAAGGATGAAAGGGTGGAGGAAGGTTTTTAGATTTTTTACTTTTCTTTGCTATTTACATTGTTTTAACATGTACTTTTACACAATAAGACACGTAACCTCCAAGATTCCACCACACACTGTCACCTTGCCTTTCCAAGCTGCACTGATTGATAGACCTAAGAGCCCTAAGGCACTGCCTTCATCTCCCAGTGCTGATCCACAGCTTAGATCCTTGTCTGTACTGTGTCCTCCCCACTAGCGAGTCTGTGTCCCCACCTCTATCTCCTCTGTAGCATGCATTTCCATGGGCCACATCCTCCTCTCATGCTCTCTTCCCCCGCAGTTCCTAGAACAATAGTAGATTCTTCTGTCTCTCCACCAGTCTAGTTCTGTGGGCACGCCGTATTAGTTCCCCATGGCTGCTGTAACAAACAACCCCTAACTTAGTGGCTTCAAACAACACAAGTCTTCTCTGACAGCTCTGAAATCAGATGTCCAAAATAGGCTTCACTGGGGTGACGTTGAGTCCATGCAACCTTGGAGGCTCTAGGGTAGACTCTGTTCCTTGTTTCTTCCAGATTCTGATGGCTGCCAGCATTCCCTAGTTTGTGGCTGCATCTTTGCAGTCCCTTCTTCCCTGGTCACACTTCTTCTCTTCTTTTGTGTGTGCCAAATCTCCCTCTTGCCTCCCTCTTGAAAGGAGATATATATAAATATACAATCACATTTAGGGCCCACTTGGATTATCCAGGAGAGTCTCCTTATCTCAAGATTCATAAAACAATCACACCTGCAAAGTACTTTTGCTATATAAGGTAACATTTATAGATTTCAGGGAATTGGTCCTGAAGTCTCTGGGGGTCAGTATCCAACCTCCTATATATACTTTCCTAGTTTCCTTTGTTGATCCCTCTTCGTGGGCTTCCCCCAGTGACCTATTATCTGCTTCTCTTCTCTTCATTCGTTCTCACTAATTGGGCATTCTACGGCCTTAACTCCTGCCTCTGAGAATACCTCCCAAATCTCTATCTAGGGCTTAGTTCCCTTCTGGTAGGAGATACAGACTCATTTTTTAGCTGCCAACTGAATTCCACTTGAAAAATCTGCTGGCATTTTCCAGAAGAAAGTTTTCCCCCAATAGACCACTCCTGTTTGCCATTTAAGTAATGCTTCATGGTCACACGAGCATAAGACCTTGAAGATACATTAGTGTATTTCCTTTTTCTACCCATCAATTGCCAAGTACTGCCATGTCTCTCAGAGATATGGACTGAGTGCTTGTCTCCCTGCCCACTCCCCCTCCACCCCAGAATTCATGTTGAAGCCCTAATCTCCAATGTGATGGTGTTTGGAGGTGGTATCTTTGAGAAGCGATCAGGCTGAGATGAGTCATGAAGGTGAGACCCTCATGACAGGATTCATGCCCTCATAAGAAGACAAAGAAACCAGAGCCCTCTTTCTGTGACATGTGAGGATATAGTGGGAAGGCAGCCATCTGCAAACCAGGAAGAGAGCCCGTACCAGGAACTCAATCAGTTGGCACCTTGATCTTGGACTTCCCAGTCTCTAGAACCATGAGAAATAAATGTCTGCTGTTGAAATCACTCAGTCTATGGTATTCTGTTATAACAGCACAAGCTAAGACACTCAGAAATGTTTCTTGCATTTGCCAACTCTTCTTTCCCAATGCCAATCATGGTTTGGACTTCTAAGGTCTCTATATAAATCTCTGAGATATTTCTCCAAGGTTCAGCTGGATGTGACTTTCAGACTGTCACCTCCAATGAAGACATCACCAGCCAATGAACAGGTAAGCATTCAGAAAGCAAGTGCAAACCAAGCCCAATGTTTCAGAAACTCAGACCCAGGCAAGTGACAGTTATACAGTGACTATCTATAAAAATTACAAGAATTTTTAAGGGTTACTTATATAATTTAGAAAGATTATGTACTTGAAAATATATAAGTGGACATATGGCTAGATATTTTAGGTTTAATTATAACCTAAGAAGGAGATATAATCTAAGAAGAAGATATATTCTAATAGGAGATATCTAAAATGCAGCTTAGAATTTCTGCAACATGTAATATTATTACACCTGCAACCCATTCTAATTTTAACACAATGTATAAAACTATTGGTCAATATGCATAGCACATGGCTTTGAGTATTTCTCTACTTAATTAAATAACTGGATACATATTTGAGCATTTATTTACCTAATCAAGTGTTTAAAAATTTCAAGAAACTTAAAAATGGCTGAACCCTGATAAAAACTCTAAGAAATACTATTAGAAATGAAACAGTGACATCAGATGAACTTTAAGACTGAAGTGAAGCTGCCAAAATGAAGACAAGTGGAGCACAAGGAAGAGAAAATGATCATAGACAGAATAGATGATATGATCACAAACAGACTAGACTCCATGGAGAAGAGGATTGTGGGTTCAACTGAGTAAGACAGGTCCTGGCTGCTGGCCCCATTCCCTCTACCTCTAATTCTCCTGGATATAAATTTGCTTTTTGTGGCCAACAGAAGCCATTTTCAACTCCCATCCAAGTGCTAACCAGGCCTCACCCTGTTTAGCTTCTGAGCTCAAATGAGATCAGATGTGTTCAGGGTGGTATGGCCACAGACAGTTTTCATTCCCTTTATCCTTTTTGATG